CTCTCTCTCTCTCCCTCCTCTCTCTTTCCTCTGTCTCACTTTCCCTCTCACTTTTTCTTCTCTTTCTTCTCTCATGCTCTCTCTTTGCTCTCTCCCTTTCTCTCTTCCCCCCCCCCCTCTCTCTGTCTCTCTCTCTTTCTCCTATTTATCAGACACTGCCACAATAAAGAACTGTTGGTCGTTTTCCTTTCACTGGTGAATTTTACAAAGTTGTAAAGCTGCCACATTCTTATTGTATTGCTAAACCTGGACCCTAAAGGAATCAAGAGCCATCCCCCACTCCATCCCCCACCTCAGGCCTCTGAGCAGAAATAATAAGTAACATTGTGAACATGAAAACTTAGCATTTGTTTCACTTTCTCCCTACAGAGTTTTTTTTTTTTCATTAGAAATAATTTTCTTTCTAGAATCTTATAACGGTTAATATTTAATTATGAGCTGGGATGTAGCTCCATGGTAGAGAACTTGCTTGGCATATCCAAAGCCCTGGGTTCAATCTCCAACAATGCAAAAAAAAAAAAAAACGATTTAATGAAGCATACTGTAAGCACAAATGATGGAGGCGGGAGGCGGGAAGCAGACCTTGGAACACCAAGCTCTTCTATATTCAGCTGGGGAGTCAATCAGTCAAACACCTGATGTGGTTCATTTTCACGGTAGAAAAATGGCGCTGGGCTAAAGCAAAGGTCTGAGTTTTATAGACTTAATTTAGGGAAAGATAGGAGGGTAGTTCCAGGGGTTCATTGTATTGGGGTCAGCCGATCCATTGGGGAGGAGTCAGGCGCCAGTCAGGTGAGAGTTTCTTTTGTGTTCTCCCGAGTTTTCCCTTCCTGCCTTCCCACTTCCCACAGCTTTTAAATGACAAAAGCTTCCATTTTACCCCCCACAAGGCGGGTGATAGAACAACTGCAGATAGCCATGCACACAACTTTTAACCAGATACAGGTCAAACATTAGTGCTTATTAGTGCTTTGAGAAGGAATGGAAATATAGAATCAGAATGGGGAATGCTGAGGTTAGGTTGTGGCTCAGTGGTAGAGCACTTACCTAGGTTCGATCTCAACACCACGTAAAAATAAATAAATAAAGGTATTGTGTCCCAGACGCAGTGGCACAAGCAGTTCCAGAGGCTGAAGTAGGAGGATGGAGAGAGTTCAAAGCCAGCCTCAGCAAAAGTAAGGTGCTAAGCAACTCAGATCCTGTCTTGAAATAAAATAGAAAACAGGACTGGGGATGTGGCTCAGTGGTCGAGTGCCCCTGAGTTCAATCCCTGGTACCAAAAAAAAAAAAAAAAAAGAAAAGAAAAGAAATTGAGAGAATTCAATTGAAGGAGGCTGGAAGTAGGCAGAGGCCCTACTTAGACATACCTGGGTTACTCCCTTTCAAAAACTGACATGCTTAACTAGAATACTAATTGCAATAATGCAGTTATTTGGAAAAGCCACTTTTCTTTCATCCCTCTGAGCCTGAACTTTGGACCACACTTGCTCTTTTCCTGCCAGAGCCAAGAACAGCAGCTTCTGTCAACTAGTTGGGTTGTTTTGCAACTCACTCATGTGTTCTCTCCCATTCTTCAGTGTTGCCACAGAGCCTTCCCTACCTGGTTTTAAACACTTCTCACCTTTAGCACTTTAGAACTTGCAACTTCTTTGATACCCAGGGTCATTCTCTTATCTTCTTATACTCCAATTTTTCCCCTCTTATGTTATCCCTTTTCCCCTTCCTCCAAGTTGAGATACTCTTCAGTAAAATGGGGGAAACTTTTCTTTCCATCAGATAAATAGTTCCTCTCCTTTCTTTTTCAAATCTTGTTCTTATGACTAGTTGTATTTCAATTCATCTGTGAGAAATCCAACTGGCCCAGTTGTCATTTGTGTGTCCCACTCTGTGTAAGGTATAAAGACTTTGAGGCCACAAAGATTAGTTAACATTCTGTTCCTGCTGTCAAAGTTGATCATTTAGTCTAGTGGCACAAGTCACTATGTGCTAGCCAGAATGTGTGCCAAGCAACATTACAGGTAAAAACAAACTGCAGTGGGAAAGCACAAAGGGTTTAGCTACAGTGAAACTCATATTAGTTCACATTTTGGTTGGGCCTCCTGCAGGGTAAACAGGCCAGGGAAGGCAAAGAAAGGAAAGTCAAACTAACACCAGGAGTCAGGTAGGGCCAGTTAGGTCTTTGGTGTAGGGAGGGTTTCACTTAAACTACCTCCATCACCTGGGCAAGGATCTTCCCCAAAAGAGACGTAAGAAACTCTCCTAAGGAGGATTACCATCTGGTTTCCTGGAAAGGAAAAAGACAAGTCATGCTTCCAGTAGATGTGTTAGGGGTGTTGTTGAATGTCTTCTGCAGTATTGAAAGTACTGCTCTCCTCCTACATAAGTCAAAAGAAAACTTTGGAGGCCCCTCCTGCGTTCTCCAAATAAGTCAGGGATTTATTCATCCATCAACTCAGTGAGCAGGAACTTACTGAGTATTCCTTGGATCTGAGCATGACTGCTGCTTCAGAGAACAAAAGATAGTCCCTATATATACAAGGAGCTCACAATTTAATTAATGAGAAAGACAGACCACAAAAGAACATAATAGCAAGACAGGTGTGTTTCTATGTATTTGCACAGGTTGCTTCCCATATATCAGCTTTGGGAAGATCTGGAAGGGCTTCTCAGAGGGAGTGACATCTAAGTTCTGGCTTGTAGGATAAATTGGAGTTGGCCAGGGATAAAGAGAGACAAAGGATGTCCCCAGGCAGGATGGAAACAGGATATGCAAGGGCTGGCAGCTGGCAGGCTTGCAAGTTTAGTGACTGGGAATTTACATTTGAAGGGAAGAGGGGCGGAGTCTGGAGAGGGGAAGCTAAGGAAGTTCTAGGGATGTTATGTGGGTGGGGGAAGAAATCAGATGAAAAGCTTTTCATGCCATGCTACACTGAGTATATTTTCTGAGAAAAAAAAAAAAAAAAGGAAGGATTAAAGAACTATAGAAAGTTTCATAAATATTAAATGTCACCTGGTTAAGTTATATGCAAAAGAGATATGTAAAACCATCTACATAATTTGTGGGCTGCCATGTAAAATGAAAATGTAGGAGCTCTTGTTTAAAAAGTGTTAAGAACTTCAAGATGGCAACAGCAGAATATTAACCTAAGATGGGAGGTCCTCTGAAGGGTGGGACCTTGTGCTGCCGTTCAGCTCACACACCCATGAAGCTGGCCCTGCGGATAGGCCCCCATATCTCTGTTAGATATTAAAAACAAAACTAACCAAAAATATATTTTCTAAGAGCTGTCTCTTGTTTCAGTCAGATAACAAGGAACTGCTTCAGGGAAGCTATGATAAATGTCCATTTTATAGGAGTGTGTGGAAGAAAATAAGTAGTATGCCAGATGATTCATTAAAGAATCTGGATCTTATCCCAGTCGGGGTCAGGACAATGAAGGTCAGAATATGGGGCTGACTCCAGTCCTGAACTGCAGCCAAAGTAGAAGTCCAGAATCAGGATTGATAACGCGCTCTCAGAGGCCCATGTAATTAATCATGTATTTATTAAATCTCACATTTGGGCTTTGGTTAGGTCCATCCAGTGAAGGATATGGAAAACAACAATCCCCAGGGAGAAAAGGAGGGAGGCCAAAGGGCCCCAGGGAGAGAAGGAAAACAATGGGCTCTGGACTTTCACAATTTCCACTTCTGCAACTGTTTCCCTGACTGCCCAATGGACTCATTTTGCTATGATTACATCTCACTAGATCCTATAAAAACCAGACCCCTAGGATTGGGGATATAGCTCAGCTGGTTGAGTGCTTGCCTCACATGATACAAGACCCTAGGTTTGATCCCCAGCTCCACCAAAAAAAAAAAAAATCATACCCCTATTATAACCAGTTGCCATTTTCTCTCTTGAAAATAATGTCCCACTCTGCTGATCCATTGTGGCCTGTCATTATTTCTTTTATTTTCTCTTTCATGGGCTTTCACATAGGAGTTTGAAAGACAAAGCACATAAGACACAATCCTTGCCTCCCAAACACTCAAAGTGTTCCCAGAGTCCTTGGCGAAGGCCCCTTCTCCAATAGTCCAACAGGCCAGATTCTGCTTTGTATCCCAATATGCCAATCAAACAGTCAGCAGTGGTGAAGGACGGGAGGAGTTTTTCATCAGCGTGGCCACACCAGGAAGAAATATAAGGGCACAGTGACCAAAGATTTGTCTCCAACGGGCTGACAGGAACTTTGAGGGTTCCCCCACTTTCCTTGCCCTTTTCCTTCCCCCTGGAACTTTGAGGTTTCATAGAAAAGGAGGACAAAGTCAAGGGTTGGGAGCTTGCATGACTGGGGGATTTGTATACCTGATAGAGTGAGTAATCCTGGTCAGACCGCGGTCTGGTTGATCATTGTCTCCTGGGCCAGTTCTGTGCAGCTCTGGGAGGGTTATCATTGCTTGAGGGGATGATTTGATTCCCAGCAGGAGATGATTGTTCCTGCTTAGGGGCACAGCCTGAGTTCCTTCATTGGGTAATTGCTTCCTTTTAGGCAAAGTCGACAGGGTGATCTGTTCTGCAAGAAGAGGCTCAAGTAGTTTCTTCTGTACCTCATCCTAAAAATGCTTGTCAACCAGGCCTTTCGTTCCTGGAATCCAAAGTGGAAGAAAGTGGCTCAGAAGAGAGACAAGCTAAAAAGGCAAGTGGAGCCAGTGGAGTTGGTTAGATCATTGATTGGGCCCTTCTTCATAATGAGAGAAACCACCGGTGAGCAGATGGAGTCATTAGGAGGTAGGTAGAATGGCTAACAATAAAACAACATATTCTGATTAATAGAGATATTAAAATGGCACTCTATGTAATGTTCAATATTTAAAGATTTAGTATGCAACCAAATACATCTGTGTTGGTCAGAGTCCAGTCAGGAGAATAGAAACCATTCTAGATATTTCAGATGGAAGGAATGTAACATAGGGAATTGGTTGTTGTAATAAAACATTTCACAATTGTGATCTTGACCATGGAGTAAGTCATAAGCTGACAACTCTCAATTCCCTGTCATAGGCAGTTCACTAAGCCCTGACTCCAACTGCTCCTTTTGTGTGTGTGGTCCCAGGGATTGAACCCAGGGCCTTGTGTATGGGAGGCTAGCACACTACCAACTGAGCTATATCTCCAATGTGTCTAACTCCTTTCCTTATCAGCCTCTTTCACACACTGATTACAATACACACATATCCAAGGCTAGAGGCTCCTGATATCAAACACAAGGGATGGCCCTTTCTTTCTTGGATCCAAGGAATTTTTCAAAATACCCAATCCCTAGGGAGCACATAAAACCTAGCTCACTCCACCCAGCTTACCCTACAGAAGCACCTCCTATAGTTCCAACTTGGTTTTACCTTGTCCCCCTGCATGGCTCAGTGGGGCAGCTTTCTCTCATGGGGATCTGTATGTATCAAAGAGTTCTGCCTTTTATCTATCGAAGTGCTACTGTGTTGTGTCTCAGCATCAAAAGAATCTTAAATTTTAGTTACACAGACATGGGAAGGCAGGAAAGAGACAGCCTCGAAGGTAGAAAGGAAGCAGCTGCCTGGAGCTGAAACCTTGAGGGGAAGGGCTGTCCAGATGCCTCCAGAAGCAGAGAGAGAAGAGCAGAAAGACCCTCCACTCTCCCTGTCTCTCCCCTTCCGATCTTCTCCCAGAGCTTTCCACTGGTCAAATTCCCAGAAACCAGCTGCCAAGGGGACCTGGAAGACATAACTTTCCATCACACAGGAGCAGGGGATATACCCATGTTCATAGCAGTACTCTGGACAGGAGTCAAAAGGGGAAAGCAACACAAGTATTCAGTGACAGATGAATGGACAAACAAAATGTGATATACACACAGAACGGAATATCATTCCGTCACAAAATGGAAGGAAATTCTGACATCTGCTATGACATGGAACTTTGAGGACCTTATGCTAAGTGAAAGAACCAGTCACTGTAGAATTCTATTTATCTGAGGTACTAAGAATGGTCAAAATCACAGAGACAGAAAGTAGAAGGATTACTGCCTCGGGCCATGAGGAGGCCAAGTTTTAGATTTGCAAGATGAAAAAGTTCTAGAGATGGGTTTCACAGCAGTGGGAATGAACTAAACACTGCTGAACTGTACAATTGAAATGGTTGAAGATTTTTTACCACAATAAAGAAATAAAACACGGGATGAAATTGAAATACATATTATAACATAGATAAACCTGAAAAACACTGTTTAAGTGGAACAAACCAGATATAAATGAACAAATATTAAATGATTTCACTTGCCTGAAGTGCATAAAGTAGGCAAGTTCATAGAGGCCGGAAGTAGAATAGAAGTTACCAGAGACTGTGGGGAGGGTGGGAAATGATTGCTTAATGGATACAGTTTCTGTTTGGGGTGATGAAAAACATCTGCAAATGGGTAGTGGTGATGTTTGCACAACCTTATGAATGTACTCAATGTCACTGAATTGTAGAAGTAAAAATGGTTAAGTGCAAAAGTAATAAATTTTATGCTATATGTATTTTACTCAATTAAAAAAAAACAGCAGGGAAAGGGGGAGACAGATTTGAGAGCAAGCAGACCCACCAACTAGGCAATACATTATCTAACCCTGAAGTGATAGCAAGTACCATTTACCTGCTCCGATGATGTCCAAAGACAGACTCTAGTTAAGTAACGCCTTAGGCCATGAAGCGGTAAGACCAGCTAACCTCCTCTTTCTTGGTTTCTAGAATTTTTTAAAAAATATGTATTTTTTAGTTTTAGGTGGACACAATATCTTTATTTTATTTTTATGTGGTATTGAGGATCTAACCCAGCGCCCTGGGGCGCGCATGCCATGCGAGCACGCTATGTTTGAGCCACATCCCCAGCCCATAGAATTTAAAAAAAATATACTTTTAGTTGTAGATGGCACAATACCTTTATTTTGTTAATTTATATTTATGTGGTGCTGAGGATCGAACCCAGTGCCTCACACATGCTAGGCAAGTGCCCTACCACTGAAAGACAACCCCAGCCCCTGTAGAATTTTTTAATAAAAGGCATGAGCTCAATTACATAATTTGCAAATGATTGTGTCCTTGAGAAAATCACTTGTTCTCTCTGAATTTTACAAAATGGGAATGATAATCCTGCAGTTGTGATTGCTGAGAGGATTACAGTATAAACCTGGTTAAGTGCTTGGCACATACTAAGTGTAGAGAATCATACATTTTAACAAAATTGACACTTACGGAGCGCTGCTAGTGTTTTATATGTACAATCGGCCCTCTGAACCAGAGGGTTCCAAGTCCTTGGATTCAACCAACTGGTGATAGAAAATATTCAGAAAAAAAAATTATGTCTGTACTGAGTATGAAACTATTTTCTAATCATTCTTCCCTAAGTAATATGGTACAATAATTTGTTAGATAGTAGCTAGCAGTGATCAGTGAAATAATGGTAAGATCATAAAATGTTCTTTAAATTACTTTAGGGTCCTTCTTCAAACTATCTTAAGAAATCAAATGGTGGCAGTTAATCTATAGATAACAAACAGAAGCAAGGGAACTATTTGTAAAACACATGAGGAGAAAAGGATTAATGGGACTGACTCTTGACAGGACGCACTGAGGTTGATGTGAAGATAGGAATTAGGGCTATAAGTGTCCCCATTTGTCTAGGGAAGGAAGATTCCTTTAGTAGCGCAGGTGAACTAGGGTAACTTCTGACCAGCTACTGACCCCAGTGCCCACATTAACATGGGATTGACTTGTAGATGAAGCCCCCCTAACTAGGATGGCCACCATGACAGTTCCAGAGAGGACCCGCTAAGGTCAAAAACTCCACCACCCAACATGAAGGAGGAGTTGAACACCTGATTGGGGAGGGTTGCTGAAGGAGGACTCCAGCTTTCAAGTCAACCATAAAACAGTAATAAATTTGAGGACAGCATTGTCTCCTTCGTCGTTCTCTGTTTGGAAGACGGCCCACTCTCTCTCTTGAGAGTGCTCTCTGCTTGAGCTTCACTTTGCTTCTACTTTACAGTCACCTATAGTAAGTTCTTTTGCATGACTTTTGGTGTCTGACTTTAAATTTTCTTTCACTGGAACGTAAGATCCGAGGTTGGGAGTTTCAGCTCCCTGCTTTCCCATGACAAGGGATCCTAGAACAAACTCCCTCCAGAGACCAAGAGAGAACTGTATTTAATAAGGATCACAACAAACCTGTGAAGTAGGCATTAAGAAATCCCCATTTTTCAGATGAGAAAGCAGAGGTTCAAAGACTTTAAGTCACTTGCCTAGTGTCCCCTGCTGGGAAGTGTCAGACTGGGATTGGCTTCAGGAGGGTCTCACTACATTCTGCTCTTGATGCACAATCCGAGGCACTTGTATAAAGCACTAATTTAAAATGTCAGCCAAGTACAGGTAACCTTGTGTATAAAATATACACAGAGCTAGAATTGCTACATATTAACACAATAGAGTTTCTATTCCCAGAGACTTAAAAACATCTAATTACTTCTCAACATTTTTGTTTTGTGGTGCCGGGGATTGAACCCAGGGCCTTGGGCATGCAAGGCAAGTATTTTTTTTTTTTTAAAGAGAGAGAGAGAGAGAATTTTAATATTTATTTTTCTAGTGTTCGGCGGACACAACATCCCTGTCTGTATGTGGTGCTGAGGATCGAACCCGGGCCGCACGCATGCCAGGCGACTGTGCCACCGTTTGAGCCACATCCCCAGCCCCCCAAGGCAAGTATTTTACTAATTGAGCTAACCCTAGCCTTACATCTCAACTTTTTTTCCCCTTAAATATATTTTTAGTTGTTGATAGATCTTTATTTTATTTCTTTATATGTGGTGCTGAGAATCAAACCCAGTGCCTCACACATGCCAGGCAAGTGCACTACCACTGAGCCCCAGCCCCTACATCTCAACTTTTAAGAACAAGCTTTAGTAGTTTTTTTTCCTGAACCAATGCATGTAATATAGTAGCAGGTGTTTTGTGCTGTCTGATCATGTAATGTACTTCCTGTAAATACAGTTTTCCATTTTGTAAAAGAAGAAGAAAAAGAAGAAGCTTTAGTCACATTGATTTAGCTTTCTACATTTTTAAAATTTGTTTCCTTCACAGCTGATCAGAGTCAGCTCAGAATGTCTGGGGATTCTCTAATTGAGATAGTCACATCTTCCATGTACCCAGGGTTTTGTCTCCAAGGCTCTAAGTTTATGAGACCTGTGTTCTTATGACTCACATCAGCACTTTAATTTTTCACTTTCCATCCATGGCTGTAAATTAAGGAGGACTAAATTGCAATAAAATATTTAAATGTTTGCACAAATAGTTCATTAAGGGGGGAACACAGAGGCTGGAGTTGTAGCTCAGTGGTAGAGCGCTTGCCTAGCATGTGTGAGGTACTGAGTTTGATGCTCAGCACCACATAAAAATAAATAATGGTATCATGTCCATCTACCACACACACACACATGCATGCAAAGCAAATATATATCTATATCTATATAAAGATAGATAGATAAATATAGATATATAGATATAGGTATTTATGGAACTCCGCTGGGCTGCTGGCATATGCCTGTAATTCCAGCTACTCAGGAGGCTGAGGCAGGAGAATCACAGGTTCAAGGTCAGCCTGAGAAATATGAGACCATATTTCAAAATAAAATAAAGAAAGGACTGGGGATGTAGCTTAGCAGTGCTTGCCTGGCCAGATACCTGAGGCCCTAGTGCTTCACTCAAACTGACAATACTAGCAAATGACATAATGGAACTGTTGCTTGTTAGCTGAGAGATGGAAATTCAAACTCAGCAGAAGTAACTTGCTCTACGTGTGGGGTAGATAGCATTACTGTCCTGTTTACCAAATGATCTGGTCCCCACTCCATGATGCCCCTCAAAAACATTTGGAATAATAATATGTTTTTTGTTCCATCACTCAGATCTCATCACATCCTAAAATTTTGCCTTTTTTTTTTTTTTTTTTTGGTACTGGGGATTGAACTCAGGAGCACTCGACCATTGGGCCACATCCCCAACTCTATTTTTTATTTTATTTAGGGACAGGGTCTCACTGAGTTGCTTAGTGCCTTGCCATTGCTGAAGCTGGTTTTGAACTTGTGATCCTCCTGCCTTAGTCTTCCGAGTTGCTGGGATTACAGGCATATGCCACCTTGCCTGGCCAAATTTTGCCATTTTTGCCTCGTATTATTTTAAAGAAATAAAACATTACAGACACACTTAGTTCAAGCTTCCTGCATAGCCCTCCCTATCATATTCCTCTCCTTCAAAAATCCATTGACCTAAGCAACTTAGTGAGATAAAAAATTAAAAAAAGGACTTGGGAGCCAGGTGCAGTGGCGCACATCTGTAATCCCAGCGGCACTAAGGCTGAGGCAGGAGGAACAGGAGTTCAAAGCCAGCCTCAGCAATAACAAGGCGCTAAGCAACTCAGTGTGACCCTGTCTCTTAATAAAACAAAACACAGGGCTGACCCAGTGGTTGCGTGTCCCTGAGTTCAATCAGTGGTACCCACCCAAGAAAAAAAGAGCTGGGGTTGTGGCTCATTGCTTAAGCACCCCAGGTTCAATCCCTGGTACCAGAACAAAGAAAGAAACCAAAAACAAAAACAAAAATCATTGAAAAGCTAGAAACCATCAAAATAAAAAACCCACTTTGAAAAAAATACACCTCTTTTTATGTAAATCGAGAAAGATTT